GAGTGTTAACCCGGCTGCCCACGCCGTTCCCTTGGGAAGCTAGATGCCAGACGTCACCTTCTGCCACGAGCAGCGCGTGCGACGGCACAGCTTCAGCAGCGGCAGCGCTGGTGGCAGCGACGATGGCGACAACAACGACGTCGTCGACGACGGCGACGACGACGACAACTGCAAGCGTGCAAAGCAGCTGTGTATCATCGGCGTCGGACTCGGACTGCTCTTCCATCCAAAGTCTGCCGCCGTTCCAACTGTCCCAAGCCTGGGAGGCCGTGACTTGCCTGCAAGAGAACGTAGCGGTGTTTCGTTCAAGGGGCAATGCGCCGACTGCGGAAGAGGTGGCCGACCTCGTCATGGTGCCGTGCCAGAGGATCGTAGGCGAGCTTCAAAGGGCGATCGAAACGTATTCAACATGCATCAAGCGCGCCGAAGCGCGCGCGCGGACGCAGGCGGGAGCCGAGATCATGGCTATGCTACACGTTCCGGAGGGATAGCATGTGGTCGGGTCTTTATGTGAATTTTGGGAAATCATTTGCAGCAGTCATCCTTGACAGACTGGGCGTGTAAGGTACTGCAGGATGGATCCGTATGCCGTGAACATGCCATTTGGCAATTTACTGTCACAAATATCCAGCCAATGCTCTTTGACCGAGCGAACCATGCCACAGAAGTACCGCAAGGCAGCCAAAGCCCAGTGCGTGCCGCAAGCTTTGCTGAGACGACCCGAGTGTACTGTAGCCGTGTGAGACTCCTGCTTTTCTCCGACCGCCGTTCTCTGTCGACTTCGTCCTCTTCACTTTCTCCGCGCCATATCCAACTCCACTTGTAAATTAACGTTAATCTGTCTCTTGCCGGCCCTTCAGATCAATCCACCTCTTTGGGAAAATCCTTTCTAACTTAACGTGAACGTTATTCAAAAATTCGGCCCAGCGCCAGAGCGTGGCGATGTGGACAACACACGGACGATCATGCGACTTCGCGGATTGTTCGCATAAATTACTTTTGTGCTGTGCTTTCTCTTTGCACGAGCCCGTCCGCATGCGCGCCTCTCGTCCGCCCCTTGCTCACGAGCCAGGCCATGGCTGTTCCGTGTCGACAATCGGAAACCCGCCTTAAAGTTTGTCAAGAAAGGAATGAGGTCGAAAATAGGTCCGTTGGCTTTGCGCCGCGTGAAATGCTTTTGAATAAGATTTGGACGAACGATGGCGGACGAACTCAGCCAACATCAAACGTTCTCGGGTTGCGGCAGTATAAATGTAAACGTCACCCACGGATCGTGCGCCCGACCGGCTTCAAGGTCGCTTCCTGTCCGGACGCCAGAGGCGTGCGGGTCCTGATTCATGCGGGTAAGGGTCGAGAGCGTTCGAGGTAGCTTCAGGCGCCGGGCCGAGCGTCCAAGGGAAATCGGATATCGTTTGGGTTGCGTAGTCGGCAGTCGTTCGGCAGCCGCCCGCTTGAGGAGGCTGAAGTCAGGCTGCCGCAGGAGTTCCTGCACGGCGCTTACTGGAGACACAAATGAGGAGTTCCTGCACGGCGCTTACCGGAGACACAAATGCTGCTGCAAGCCACACCATTCTTGAGACATCGACTATTGCGGGGCACTGCAGTGATAGTACCACCGGCGCGCACTCGAGGTTCTTCCTTACATTCCCTTGTTTAGATGCATCGTCAGCCGCCCGGCATGAAGCGACGTTGCGCTCAGTGTGCAAGATCAGGTGTGCTTCGGAGCTGGCGTGCTAAGATACCCTCGTGTAGCAGCATTCGACTCGTCTTCCCAAACAAAACATGGCAACAAAATGGCAACAAACATGGCAGAGGCTACTTGCGGACCCTACAATGAAGCCTTACCAGTCGATTGCGAAGAACGAGAAAAAATGCTCACAAAAGCGTACAGTAGGATCAGCACTCCGAGTGCTTCCGGCACAACACCTTTTCCATGCAGGGGGAGAGGGAAAAATTTTACCGGACGTGCTTGGAGGAAGGAGCTCAAATGGAGCATCGCAGAACGACACGGCTGGAACGGAGAGACAAAGACATTATATGCTGCGATCAAGTTTGTGACGCTTGTAGACCCGCCGCGCTGTACATCCTGGAGGTGACAGCTGGGGCAAAACAGCATGCATTACCACTGGATTGCACCCTGGAAAGCCATCAGCCTGTTGTCGTGGCCATGGGCAACAGCCCATCAAAGCGCGCACGGGACAGAGCAGTCGTACGCCCGGCGACCCAGTGCGGACGGCAAGCAAGATTGAGGCAAGTACGGCGAGGCGGCATGAGCATGTACGCATCAGGCAGGACACAAGACCGACTCGGCCGAAAAGCGGCGCTGTGCTGCAATGGCGCAGGGTGTGTCACATGATCATCTTCCTCATGCGGCGATGCGAGCCCTTCCCGCGCTTGCAGCACTGCACTGCTCGTGAAGGACAGGGATCATTCTGGCGAGTCGAATTCCGGCAATACTGCTGCCGAGCAACTGAGGGCCTAGAATCACGGACCGGACGGCTCGACGACCGCGGGCCCGATCACCATAGCCCTTGAAGAACAGGGATGTCGCGCAGCAAACTTAGCGTCGGCGCGATTTTCTGCAAAAGTCGTTGATACTGATGTAATGGCACTTCAGGGCTCCAAGAGATCAAGGCTCCTTCGGCCACACGCGGATGTTGCTGCTGTGCGTCACCGGCTCGTCGCTATGCCGTCGAAGGGCGTGCCCAGGCGCTCACGTCTCATTGGGATGATACGGAGATCCAAATGCCCCGGCAGTGGAACTGAACTGTAGTTCAAAGGAGTTCTGCGACTCTGAGTTTTTGAGTGATTCGCCCCTGCTGGCGCCACCTTTTGTGCGTGATTCATGAGCGCTCAGATACTGCTAACCGACCGCGAATCCATCGCTTATCACAAAAATGACGATCTCTGCGTTAAAATGCCCTGGCAAATGATCAACGCGGCTTGCATTGACGCGCGTCTATCGGAAGGATTGCATGATCGACGCGAGGACTGCGTGAGCCAATCTTCATTCTGAACCACGTTTTTGTGGCCAGATGAAAAGGGTCAGTCCTTGCACATTCATTCTGAACAAGGCTCTAGACATTTCCGGGAATCCAGCCATTGGCTTGACCTGGGCTACGGAGTGAGGGCAGCCGCTAGAAGTCTGGCCGTTGCATCCTTGCAACCTTCACGGACCAGTCTTGCGCAGACGCTTGGCTGCCGCGGGGCCGGCCTTCCATCGTGCGCGCACGGTCTCTCGTCGTTGGTGCCAATCTGCGGCAAATCCCATCGCGGGACGGAGTCTCCGGCGCTTACCATCCAGCGCAAGCAGCCGTTGAGAGTTTGTTGCGCTGGTTGCGCCAAACACCCTGCTAGAATCGCAGACCTGTCGGTTTTTTACAGTGGTGGGTGGAGGAACGCTTCCGACCACGCGATACAGTGGTGGGTGGAGGAACGCTTCCGACCACGCGAGTCGAGTCGAGTCGATGTCGATGTCGGCCGACGTGAACGCCAAAACCTGGTCGGAGGCCCCTGCTTTGCCCGTTCCGTTAGCTTCCATACCATCCCTGCTTATCCAAGAGCGCAAGCGATCGACAGCGGCGCCGCGTTCCCTGTGGCCGTTCGACACCATGGAATCGCTCGAAAGATGGATATCATCGGCAGCACAATGCGCTTCGAAGGATTGAGCATCGCCGTCGGACTCCAGGTCTCTGGTGCTTGTCCTTGCGGTGTGAACAAGGGCCAGGCAGGTTGAGGGCTGCACCTTTGCTGCGATCAAGCTTCCGTAGCATGCTGAACAACACGGCACAGGATGGCAGGCTGGGGAAAGTTCGCTGGACATTTTGACTTTAGGCCCAAAAGTGGGGCTTTGAACTTCCTCGTCTCGCCCTCCGACCGCACGAGACCCCGGCAGGTATAATTTGAGGGGCTGCGACCCGACTGCCTTCACGTGCCGCAAGGGTCCTCTGAGGTCCAACACCCGTCAGATGGTTGCACGCGGTGCTTCTTGAAAGCGCTCCGCCACGAAACTATGCGCTGCACTC